CATTGAAACTGGACAAATACAAAAAAACTGTATTTTATGAAAGCAACTATTCAGTGGCAATTGTAAAAAAGAAACTTTCCCCCTGCAGTTGTTTGTCCATTTCAAGCCAAAATGTGTAAAACAAAAGCAATGTTTCTTTGGGACAAAAGCTTGTTTTCCCCTATTCTGATAACGTAAGACTGAACAAGGAAGAACATGAATTTCCTTCCTTCCTTTTACGCAGTAAACAAGTGTGAGACCACACGCTTTGGCAACAAAAACTGTTGAGATTACGATATCAGTCAACAAGGCGTGTTTCTTTGCTTGAGCTACTTTATACAAACAATAATTTGCTGCTACTCGCTGAACGCACACAAACTGGCCCTGATGACAACAGCACAAAGTCCTGGAAGCTTTCTGCACCAGCACAGCCCCCCCCGCCCTGTCCATCACTGGTTCGCTATATTGACCCAGGTAATGGTGATAATGGATGTTATTCACATCAATAGGAAGATCAAACAGTAAAAGGAAACCCTTTGCTTCTACAATTCATGCTCCCAAGTGCAAAGCCTTAACCCATTATATAGTTCAGCAGGGAGGCCGCTAAGACGCTTTTTCCCAACAAAAGAAAAAACACCTCACATAAATGCAGCATTTCTTCTGCTTTTATGGTTTAACACTCGTTTTAGTATGTTTTCACTTTCAGCACATTTTCCTTCATTAGACTTAAAACCTTACCATTCATTCAACAACACCACTAAGGTATTGATGATTTGTTCAAGTCTAAGAGCTTTTATTGAACTGTAAATCTGCATGTGAGAGTGCTATAGAGCAGATAAACAAGCTTCTTCAGAAGGCCAGTGTCACAACCACAAACACTAACAAATCCATTACAGACGCATGTAATCGTGCATCCTTGTCAACAAATCAGACAGGAAAAGCCTCCATTGCCCCCTTCCCACACAAACCAGGCCTATTCATTCACTTATAAGTTATTACCAAACTACTGGTGGCAGGAAAATAAGACTGCCTGAATCTCTTCCTTCTTTACACTTTAAAGTTTTACACCAAACTTGGTTTAATTGTATGTGTTTTGCATCTCTAATATCTATGTAATGACCAATACATATTTTCTAATTCTGAGGGCTACTCATTGCTGCCAATATCTATTATAAGGTTACGGCATTACTACAGTAATAATGTAGCAGTGACCTTTATAAAGCCAGCCTATGTCAATTTGTCTGAACAGCAACAGCTGTGGCCATGTGGTGATTACTGTCTGGATTACCTGATAATAGCACACAAAATTTCACTTGATCTCATCATTGGCAGACATGAAAGAGCGGAGGTCACACCAGACCATAAGCAGGGAACAACAACGTCTTTCAATGAGGTATACATCCACAAAACATAGGCTTTAAAACCCATAAAAGATATTAGGACTTCCTGTTTTTCTTACACTATTCTTTTATGCAACGCAGATATTCTCTAGCCTTTGTACAGTTTCCTTTCCAGGTTTCCCTGAAGATCTGGATTATGTTTCACTAATCCTAACAAAAGTAAATTCACCAAAACAATTGGCCCAGATTGAAAACAGTGTGGGACTGCTCCTTTTCGTTGCGCTGTCCTGAGGTCTGTTACTTGGGAACACATAAACAGAGCGCTGGAACAGCTCCAGGCTTTATTTCAGGACAAAGATAAGATAGCATGTGCCTGTGACAAACTTCATCCACACAAGGACCTGTTTTCTGGGCACAGTGTTCACTTCCGTTAGTTGGTTACTAAGAAGAATATGTAATATTTATGTCAGAAATTAATAAACGTATCCTGAAATAGTCTTGCTTGCAAACTCAAGGTTCGGCTTATACAAAGCAGAACCTCTTACGGAAAAGAGGTCTGAATTTAGATACTTCCATTTGAAGCCCGCTCTGCTATACTGATGCTCTGTTAGATTACTGGGCCTCAATTTTCTATGCTCTGCGGTCGAAACACAACAAGGGCATTTATTGTCTGTGACCGGCCCGCTTCTTCTGAAGAGCAGCAGTTGTTTTGAGAACATGAAACCGAAGCATGGCGCCTAGACCAGGCAGAAAGTGATGACCTTTAAATGAGCGGGGTCTAACGACGCTGCTCTTTGGCCCGGCTTGATTAGCTGAAGTCACAGGAAGTGAATGGTATCCTTATCTGGGGTCAACACTGCAGTGCAACAGCATGTCCATCTTTCCTATGATGTCATAGAGGGCTGGTACAGATACAATAGCACTCATTCGTGCTGCATGTGCACATACATGGCATGGGTGTGTTCCAAAAGAGCGTCTTGAGTGGATTTTAACCATCATCAGCAAATGCTTGAGATGATAATCATTTAAAAGTCCCTATTACAGCTTTGTTTTTGCCAATTGGTAGATTAATCGATAAACAAAAAGTTAATCTGTAGCCATTTTTATAATTGTTTAGGTACAGTAATGCTTCAGGAAAAATGCCTTATATTTGCTGGTAAACCAATATTTGTATTGTGGGCTGTTGGTTAGTCATGAAAAAAACAATAAATCTGACTGTGAAGATGTGATTGCAATTTGTTGTCATTAAACTGAATATTTGATTTATGTATGAAAAATAGTCAACGGTAATTTGCAGCCAAAAATTGATAAGATCAAAATGTCTTCCTCTGATCAATGATCTATGCTTATTTGGTAAAAATGTAAGACAATAAACAGCAGGGCAGATGTGGATAAAAGGAGAAGGGCACCAGGCCGGAACAAAGCCAGAGAAGGAGTAGCACAGGAAATGGACCTGATAAGAGCAGAAGGAGTTGGGTAAGATCCCGGACAATGGTCAGGCTGAACTTTAACAGGAGATCAGCACAATGCATGGACGAGGCGGGGAAACGCTTATGTTGTCGAGGACAAACAGGGGTAAGGAATGGTAAAGACGTGGGGAGAGTGGGAAGCAAGAGAGGAGGGAAGTCCTGCTCATAAGAGGAAGGATTTGGGGTGCAAAAGCAAATTGACCTGTCTTGTTTAAACGAACAAAAAGCTGTTGAAAGGAACTGTAGGTGGATGGCTGAGGGGGCATGCCTCTCTCACCCACATACCAAACATATAAATCTATCACATGCACTCTTCTAAAAATAAACATTCATCTGCACGTCATCATGCATATCACAAGGTGCCATCCAACTTTTGTACAGTATAGTATCACGCAGCTGATTTAAAGGGGTAGTCTGATGACAAACTGCAATTTTTATTTCCTTTGGCTCCACACTTTAAACCTGTGCTCTGAGAGCTGGACTTCAGGGCGGGAATGTGTTTGACTGTGTGTTTCTGTGTGTGATAGAAACCGTTTTCTGCCTGAGCCACTTGATCAGTGCTGACAGAAAGCAGACGGAGCTCTCTGACTACAACCGGACCTCTGTGGATGTCAGTGGCTAAAAATACATGCAGCAAACTATTCAAACCTACCACCATGCAAATAGAGCAAAGTATGACGTATCATAAGGATCATTTCAATTAAGATGTTTTACAGTTTAGGTGTCCAACAATGATGACTATTCACAACAGGTACAACAAATATTCCAAAACGTTTTCACTGTTAAAAATCTCCAATCCAACATCAGACAGCAGGTGAACACCCACAATGCAAAGGAAAGGCATTTAAAAAATGGCAAAATTACATAAATAGTGTTCAATAAACTTTTTAGGTAGTGTATTTAGCCACAGCCTTCAAGTTACTGTTTCTTGTTATAATTTCTTGATAAATAACAGTATCATCCATATAACATCTGCTTTCTGTGAGGACTTTCACAAGATAAGGAAGTTGAAAAAACACTTTAGCACCTACAGCAGGGCTTCTCAAACTCCGGACCAAGGTCCGGATCCGGACCGAACTGCAAATCAATCCGGACCGAACCCTGTGTCCCATTATATAAAAAAAAAAAATTATAAAAAAAAATAAAATATCTGATTCTGATCAATTAATGTACATCATTATGTACGCGCGTCTTGTGTCTGACGCGTAGTGAGAATGAACGTGCATATATATTTACTTGTGTGCGCGAGCGTGACGCTCATTGCAGACCGCAAGTTTACCTTGACTTTCTAATGCTTCTAATGCCTTTTTTGCCGAGGTTCAAGGCATTGACTACAGACAAACAGCCAAGCCATCATACTGTATGTATGTATTGAATGTGTGAGTGTATAAAGCGGCGCCGTTTGCCGACAGGCAAGGCAGGCAAGTGCTTGGACCAGAAGGGGGCCCCCAAAGAAGGTAGATTAAGAAGGTCCACAGCAACGACAACATGGAACACCCTTTCATTTACTGCAACGACATGTCGGGAAACCCCCTCAAGGGGGCCCCATGCATAGCGCGCCATAAGAAACTGCTTCTTAATTTCAGTTTTGTTTCAGGGGGACGACGACTTTACTGGCATTGATCCGGACCAGTGACCTTGTATAAAGTTCACAAGTGGACCTTTAATAAAAATGTTTGAGTACCCCTGGTATAAACACTTCAACATAGGGCTGCAGAGGTTGGAAGGGTTTACTACCATTGGTGGGTAGGTTTTTTCACAAAGGTAATGTAAGCAAGTGGGGACTGTGCAGTCTCACAGTGTATACAGGGGCTTCACCTACAGTATGGAGCAGGGCGGTATGAGCAAAGTTTCTCTGCAGGCAACAGTTGACCTGACACCTCTAAAGTTCCCTAAAGTCTCTTAAAATGTTTCTGCACCCAACATAAATGATGAAAAGTTGAATTCTGCAAGTTGGTTCAGTCGCAATACCTCAGCACAGTATATTCGTCTGTAGGCTACTTCACTTCATCACACTCAATACAGTCCCATTATTTCAATATGACAAGGTTCATTAAAAAAAAGTCTGTCTCGGGTTGTACATTAGTGTTCCTCTTCGTGTGATTCATTGTGACATAAAGGTAGTTTAAAACACCAACATTTTTGCCACCAACTTCAGTCCAACCGCCAGAGTTTCACGTATCGCGTATCAAACATGTTCTGCTGCACTCACCTCCCCAGGTGTGAAAGAGGACCAGAAGTCCGATGAGCAGAAAGGAAGTGTCCCGTGCAGCCATGGTTGTTGGTCGGCTGTAAAGCTGTCCGTGCCTGGGTGGGTGTGTGTGAGTGTGTGTGTGTGCAGGGAGTCTGACAGCGGCTGGTCCTCCTGGAAAACTGTGAGAGGCAGAGAAGAGCGGCGATGCAGCGCGGGGAGGCAGATGATGCAGGAGGGGCAGACAGGAGGACCTACACTGTAAAAAATGAATCTATGTCCTTCTGTATGGCTCATTCTGTCGAGCTGAAATTCGTCATTTTCTCTCCACACATTATTTTGTTTTAAACATCTCTGTCTCAGCTATTATGTGGCTTATAAATGTGGGTGAATAAGTTACACGAGTTCGAAACACGGGTTCAAATGTATGATTGGGTTGGTTATTTTTTGCAGTGTGCAAAACAAGGAGGAACTTGAGTGAAGCGGCAGGAGGGCGGAGGTCTGGAGAGAAATACAGTGTGAGGATAACATTTATTGCATTTTAATTTGACCAAGATTACAACACTATACATCTCCTCATGAAAATTACCATAAGTAATGTGTTGTCAACAGTAAACCATAGTGAAATTAGTTAAGCATGACTTTTCTAAGTGAAGTGTGGGCGTCATTTTGGTTGGAAAAAAAGGTGTGGCTGTCCCTGTTTTGCATAACGGGACATTTAATTTGAAAGCCATATGCTAGGTAAAATAAAACTGTGGGTGTGTGTTCGGTAACCTCGTGGTTTAATGTTCATATCAGGACTTGTTTTGCAGTGAATGTGGATCAACATGAGGCGAGGTAAAGGTGGAGCTGAGCCTGGAGGATGAAAAGGCTTCCACCTGCTCCTTGGAGCACATATTCAGCTGCAGAGCATCTGCAGCTTCTAATCATTACCAGATACATGCTAGAAATACATTATCTGCTGGGCAGGGCACATATTTTTAATGTAAATATGACAGGCACATGCATGGTCTAAAAAGTGTACACCTCTGGATTCAGCTTGTCAAGATGCAGTACTTTTGGTTTGTTTTAAAACAATGTCTATTAGTTTCAGAAAGACAACATTATTTTCTGACTGTCTTTTTTTTTTCCTTGCTTTACTTTCTGGTGTGAAGTAGCAGGCTTAGCTGAATTATGGTTTTGTGATATGTTGTGTTCACTTCAGTCATGAATCTTCTCCATCAGTAATTGTTACAAAGATATTATGTATCTTCATCCACCCAGTATACTGTAACAACCTGTGAAAATTACTGTCTTTTTGGTAGATGCCAAATTTAATGTGGACTGAATTATGGTGTTGATTCTCCCTATCTAAAACATAGTCTGCCAGATAACTTGTTATCGTTTAAATGATGTTGACCGGCTGCACTTTCAGTTTCTGATAGGTGACACAGTTTAACTGTAAACAAGGTTTGGATATCTGCAGTGTTTGCTGAATGTGAAACAGCAAAGACAACACATTCTACAGAGTACCAAGAGGGCTGCAGGAAAATCAAACAAAAATACTGCTGTTGACACTATGATCAGATATCAGGTTGTTTTTCTCTTGTTGAGCCAAGTCAACATAATTAAACAATTATGTCTGCTCCCACAGTTTGGAGAAATCCCAGTACATACACACACCGTAGATACAGTATACACATGAGCCTCTCAGTAAATAACTTGGAGTTGATTCTTGAAAAACACTGATAGCTAAAGCCTAACTTCAGATTGTTGAGACTCAATATCAACATTTGAACATTTGAGGGCAACAAAATATCATTTGTTGACAAATGTTGTTTTAACATAGATCAAACAAAACACAGACATAAAACGTAAAGGCAATGCAAATTAAGTGTCTTTCAGTCTTTATCTAGTGTCCAAAGATTTTGAAAAGTTAATAAATTGAGCTGATCAAATGTGTTTGGAGGGTAGTTAGTAGCTAAGACTCTGTTTAATGCTGTTTGGCACAACCAAGATTGTCTGATCAGAAGACCTAAGGGACCAATGAATGTTACAAACAATACAGCGCTTTCCTCAACTCTGCACAGACAGTGATAACACCTCAAACTGTTAGTGCAGTTACAGCAAGCGTTTAATCTCATAATTATTTGATCCCGTGTGAACTATCAGAGCCTGTGCAGTTGGAAACAGATCAGAGACGGTGGGACATGTCGGGAACACTGATCCCTGTAAACTTCAGTGCTGGAAAATACCCTCTGCCATCTGTTTCTGCCAAGTGCACTGCCTCTGCCTGCAGGTCAGAGACACATAGGAAGGATCAGGCAATGATACAAAACAAACTGCAGAGAGAGAGAGAGTCTGCAGTGAAGAGGAGGTCTGCGTATGATAGCAGCGCATAAACAGTGAATGTCCTCAGAAGAAGTGGACCATTTTCCGGAGGTTGGAGCAGTTGTTTTGCTTTTGTGTGAGCCCTTTCCACATGATTGTAATTTCACATACCTGGAAAATAGGAGCACAGAATGAGCTTTTTCAATATTTGTATCAGGACATTTGGTCAAGGCCTTGAGCATGTTTCAAGAATATACTCTTTATCACAAAAGCTGGATTGCTGTGTTCTCAGCCATTCCACTGCTCTATTTCAAGCTGGGTTTTTTAGATATGTCTTTTATTTATTTTCATTTGGTGGCAACCAAATAAAGAGGTTGTGAGAGAGCTGCAGGGTAATTTTTTTCCTGCGTATTTATCTGTCAAATTATTTTGCTCTGAATGTGAAAGCCCTCTGTGTGAGGTACAAGTCAGGGGTGTATCAGGCAAGATGTTAGGCTATAAAAGAAAAACCCTGACCCCTTTCTAAAATAATTAAGAATCAAAGTCCGATTCACAGCCTGCAAAGGGCCTTGGAGGACACGGATAGAAATGGTTGGCTTGCTTCTTTCGTGTAACGTCAGAGGTCCAACTCGGTGTCGTGTAGCCATGCCCGCATCTCTGGTCCTACGTCGAAGAGGCTGGCTTCCGAGGGTGGTCTATATAAAGGGCAGGTGGTTATTATATGTTCGGCAGTCTGTTCAGGGTCAAGGTTGGCTTGCTGCGCTAAGGCTTTTATAATGGGGGTTTTGCTGTTTCCAAATGTTCAAAGCAGGTGAAGAGCAAAAATAAAACAGAAAGGCAGAGATAAAGTGCATCTGCTTTTAAAGGTGCTTTTAGTGGAAAACATCCTCTGTTCACCATCACTGGTGTTCTGTTTTTCCTTCCATCCTGGAGCTTGGGGGGGATCTGATGGTAGAGATATGAGTGCTTTGTTCTAATGGAAATATGAAGCCAATATAATAACACATCCCAACATGACTTTCTGCTGCGACGTAGTGTACATTCTCTCAATCCTCTTTGGGTTGCTGCATTGCCACCACATAAATGGTTCCAACTGCAATTGTTGCACCCCTCCCATGTGCTCCACACACAAAAATATGCATGTTGTTCAATGAAGTTGCATTGTAAGTTTTATTTTGATATCAGTATGTCAAGAAACTAGCATGTACACTATAGAAAAACAACAGATAGACCAATCAGTGCACTGCATGCTTTAAAACAAGGTTACAATGTAAATAAGGGTGTAAACCACCATGTTCATTTCCTTTGGGGTGAAGCACAGTCCTTATGGTATGAAGCGATAGCAAAGTACTAGCTGTTCTAAAAACAACTACATTGTTCAGCCACTCAAGGTCAGTGATATACGACCAAATCTTCCAGGCTGCTATGTGACTTGGGCGTGACACAAGGTATATTGGTCTATAGTTTAACACTAGAAAATGTGGAAAACCCCTTTTTTTCCAAAAGCCCTCTTTAAATTCTTCATGGACAGTATGCAAGAATGTCCCCTTTGGACCCTTTATTTCATATGATACATCCTGGACAGGGCATTTGGGAATATCAGGGGGCAATGGTTTTGGGAATGAGACTGAAAAAGGAAAATAGAAGCAGGAAAGGCAACATACCCTCAGAGTTCCCAGGGACTGCAAAGCCCTGAAACATATTATCAGAGCATGTTTCTCAACCTGCTGACAGGGGAAATCCTCCAGCTATTAACCGCCTAACAATCCCAATCAATCCCTAACAAAATGTCTCCCCTTTTTTCTCACGATGGTTACATTCATTGTTGGAATGTGATGTACATTTACTCATGTACTGTAGTTTAGTACACAATTAAGGTACTTGGACTTTTCCACTTAATATTGCAAAAAAATCTATGGCTTTAGTCACTAGCTACTTTTTAGATTAATATTATCAATACAATATATACATCACATTATAAACCATATTATTAAAGGATCCGCTACACAGTACAACAAGTGCAAAATGTAAGTGGTACACATTATAATATACATTGTATATGATTCTGAAATGGGCAACTCTGTACAATGTACTATGTACATTATTTTTACTTTAAGTACTTTAAGGTTATTTTTGCGTACGTTTTTTGAGATTACTTTTACACTGTAGTATTGCTACTTTAAAATAAGTACAATATATGAGTACTTTTCCACCTCTGGTACGATATTATTTGCATTTGCACGCATACTGGGTAACCTAAAGGTATTTGTCTCCGAACGTACAGCTTCTGGGCAGGCAGCTCTACTCTTAACAAGAGAGAGTGCAGTTCATTATTTACTTTTTCAAACCACTAACTAAAAGCTTGCCCTTACACTTGGCTCTTCTTTGATTTCCCCCTCTGATGCTCTGACTGCAGTGTCCTTCCCAAACACACCCCTGTGTGTGCCATTCCTTTCTGATTGATGATAACACGATTTCTGTTTACCTCACCGAGGCTCACAGCGCTGTGCTCAGAGCTAGGGAAGGACTGAAGGAAGGAAAGAGAGGAAAATAAGTCATTCTTTCCAAACCACTGAGGCCAGACCCGGGAATGAGTTGTTTTGGGGGGCAGTCTGCCCGGCATGAGAGACAGCTATTGTCCAATTTGCTCCATAGGACGGGGGGCTATCGAGAATTCACTGGTATGGTGAGGGGGCTCTGAGGAAGAGTGGGAGAGAAATTTGAATTTCTGCTAAACTCCGTCATAACAGCAGAGATTGTGACAAAGAGACACTTTGATAGCTCCATGGGCCAAGAATTAAACATCGCTTCTCCATGGTGATTATATGTAATAGAGGCATTCATCATGATAAATCCACCCACTGACATGTTTCTTCAGTGTTTCATCATGGGAAGAGTTTGGTA